CTCTCTCTCTCTCTCTCTCTCTCTCTCTCTCTCTCTCTCTCTCTCTCTCTCTCTTTCTTTCCCAATAGGATCATGTTGCCCAGGCTGGCCTTGAATGCATGCAGCTGAGAATGATCTTGAACTTCTGATCTTCCTGCCTGTCCCTCCCAAGTGCTGAGATAACAAGTCGAGCTGCCATCTGGCTAGCCCCCCTTTTACAAGAGGAGTGACAGAAGCTAGCAGGGCCTGGGAGGTGGCAGCTGGATTCTCCACCTGCTAGGTACAGCACAAGGGTTAGCACATGTCTAACACATCAGTACAGTTTTTTTTTAAGTATAGAATAGTTTATTCAGGGCATGGGGAGGGGAATCAAGAGGGTAGTAGAGGCAGAGAGAGAGAGAGAGAGAGAGAGAGAGAGAGACAGAGACAGAGACAGAGACACAGAGAGGTAGAAGAGTAGAGGAAGCAAAGATGAGCGAGTGAGATCGAGAGAGAGAGAGAGAGAGAGAGAGAGAGAGAGAGAGAGAGAGAGAGAGAGAGAGAAACAAGAGAGGAGCACGAGAACATCAGCCCATCTTAAGAGCTGGGGGTCGCATAGGGTCCCTGATGTTTCCATTAAACAGACACAAACCTCTTCTCCAAAGATGAGGGCAACTGTGATATCCTATTTTGTCAGCCCTGAACAGAGGCAGGCAAGGCTGAGGTAACTTGAGGTCTTCTTTTTTTTTTTTTTTTTTTTGGTTTTTTGAGGCAGGGTTTCTCTGTGTAGCCCTGGCTGTCCTGGAACTCACTCTGTAGACCAGGCTGACCTCGAACTCAGAAATCCACCTGCCTCTGCCTCCTAAGTGCTGGGATTAAAGGCGTGCGCCACCACCGCCCCGCCCAACTTGAGGTCTTCTAACATTGAGTGATGCATGTTGCTGTGCTGGCCCCATGTTGGTGGAGACGGATGGATGGCAGGTTCTGGCCCAGCCTGGCCATAGTATACTCAGATGTGGCAAGAGACAGATCCAGGAGAGCTGTCGCTGAGACAGACAAGGCTCTGTGTGTGGGTCAGCCTGGACAGGTCTGAGGGAGTCTTTCTAGTTGTGTGTGGGGGGGGGGGGGAGAGGGGGGGGCGGGGCCAGGAGGAGGGAGAAGGAGAGGGAGAGGGAGAGAGTATTCACTCACTCCAGACACCTGCCACAGACTCAGCAAGGGCTGACAAAGTCATGGCCTGATGACAAGCCTATGCCAGCCTAGGGCCAGATATGGGAAAATGGTTTTTGATAAATACAGTTCCTTAAGGCTCAACAGGATGACAAGGACCATCCTGTCAGAGCAGGAGAGACAACATGGCGCTGGGAGATGCACTGAGTCGGAGGTGGGCTTTGGGGTAGGCCACTCAGTGTCTAACTTTTCTGGGGTCCAAAAGGGGAAATCAGCAGAGGGATTGTGGGCAAGGTAACGAGGAACAAGAAAAGATCCTTAGATTTGAGACCCATGGGAGACAGAGGAGCCAAAGAAATGCTATTCTGTGTTAGAAGAATCCTTCCGTGGTCATGGTGGGCATGGGATGGCAAGAGGGAATGGTGGGAAGCCAGAGGAGAAAGACCCCGAGGGCAGAAGGCAGGGGCAATGGTGAAGGGTGGGGTCTGGCTGGCCTGAAGCAGGATGAGGGGAAGGGGCCCGGGGGCAGATTAATGTCAGTTCCTGAGGCAGGGGCTAAGATGGTCGTGCTGATCCTGGATGCCTGGTGAGGCGCGTGTCTACCACGTGCAAGCTGGGCTGAGGTGCCAGCAGGGAGTAGGATGGGGGTGAAGACCTCAGATCAGGGCTCCAGGCTCTGTCCAGAGAAAGGCAACTAGGAGGAAACGGGAATGGCAGATCAGTCCACTGTGGCAAGGACAGGGGTGGACAGCCACTGGGAGGGGGTTGGGTTAGTAAGTGCAAGAGTGCCGTGGGCCCTGAAGGTGCCAAGAGTTGGGAATGGTTAAGTCATCTATGATCCTGGAAGTCACCGGCTAAGCATTCGGTGCTGTGGAGGAAATCCAGCCTGGTGGAAGTAGCCAGAGGATCTAAGTGGGAGGGAACCACACGCTCAAGTGTTCAGAGAGGATAAAGGAGGGAGAAGGTGGAGGGGTAGAAGACAGAGCACAAGAGGCATTAGGTGCAGAGACAGGAGCAGAGGGCCTCCAGCATCCAGAAGGGTTACTTCAGCCTGTGTGGATAGGAGTCGGGCCTGGGAGGCACAGGCACAACAAGGCTGAGAGAGGTGGAGTTCTGTACCAATGTTTACCTTAGCCTTTCTGTTCTTGACAATAAAACCAGACTTTATCATGAAAAATTAGATAATACAAAGGGTGTATAGAACGGTCCCTACCACAGTACCGACAGGTGACGGCTCAACTGTGGTATCTTTTCAGTGTTTTTAAAAAATGCAAATATGCGGCTGGGAATGTGGCTCCTGGCATGCAGCCAGTCCTGGGTTTGATCCCCAGCACTGCTTTAACCAGGCATGCTGGTACACGCCTCTAGTCCTAGCACTTGGAAGATGGAGGCAAGAGAACGGACAGGTGAAGGCAAAGGTTCCAGGCCAGCCTGAGCTATATGTCTCATTGTGGTGCACGTCTTTAATTTCAGCCCTAGGAAGGCAGAGACAGTGGGATCTCTATGAGTTCAAGATCAGTCTAGACTGCATAGAAGTTCCAGGCCAGCCAGGGCTGCACAGTGAGACTGTCTCCAAAAAAAAGCATAAGCCACCACACCTGGCTTTTGTCTCAAAGAAGGGGTGGTGTCAAATATATACAAAAGAACCTGGGACCAACGGCCAGCCTGGCTCTACGCTGTATACTTTACAGTTTGCCTTTCCATTCAGCTATGCACTGTCATATTTCAAAGATCTTCCCATGTCACTAACTGTTCTTAATTCTGCTACACATTTCCAATACTGTTTGTACTGATTACCATAACTTTATAGAAGATATAAAGCATGAAGTTTTTTTTTTCATAATCAATGTAGTAACAAAGACCCTTGCACACACTGACCCAGAAAGTGCCAGCTTCTTGAATCTGTGAAACATATATTCACTAAGTGTCCCCAGGAGTGCTAAGACTCAGGGTTTATCTGGAAGCAATGCAGGGTTAACCAGGGGCTGGTGGTTGTGAATGGAGAATCAAATTCCCTGAGTGTAAATCCAAGAAGCAGAGGTAGGAATTCTGACCAATCATTCATGGCCTTCAGGAGCGTGGGGGTTTCTGCATATTGTCACCTTACCATTTTCTGCTGAGAGGATCTCTCCATGTCTTTTCTTGCTACAGTGCTTCTGAGGGTAGGAATCACATCTCACTTATTTTTTTGGGTCCTCAGGACTGAGTTTACACCCCATTGGTCATAGAAATGCAAACAATGCTGAAGTTGGAGGTGGTGGTACCCATTTGTAATCCCATCATTGAGGCTGAGGCAGGAGGATAGTGAGTTTGAGGGCAGCCTGGACTACAAAATGAGATTCTGCCTCAAAAAAAAAAAGTTTATTGAATCTAGCTGGCAGAGGGACTTGGGGACAGCCACTGCTTCATGGAGGGTGGGACAACGGATTCAGGATGTGCGCACATGGCTGGGCAGGCCCATCCTGGCCAAACACCTCCCAGATATGACCTCCAGCAGGGGAGCCAGCTGAGCCCACGTGCTGAAAAGCATGCTCAAGGGTCTCTCAACAGAACAGGTCATCCGGCCCAAGAATGGACAGTGCCACTTGGTTACTTGTTAGATTCTTGGTCACTTCTGATTAAAATGTCCTTACAGCATGCCTGTCTTGCTGTGAAGCCAGGGTTTTAATTATTTTCTAAAAATGTGAAAGATTTTTTTTTTCTTCTTTCACATGTCCAACAGGAACTTCCTAGTCCTCTTCCTGTTTCCATCCCAAATGGATCATGTTTATAAGCTAGGTTGACTAATATTCATCTCTCACAATTTTCAAGATCAAAATAAAGAACCCTGCAGATGTGAGGGCGAGAACGGTTTGCCGACGCAGTTCACGCTACTGTTAACTTACAGGCGTGGTAATGTGGTTGTTCTTTTTAAAGAATCGTCACAGTGTTTGCATATATTTATGGGTACAGCGTGACATTTCAATGCGCAGGCACACGGCACTGACTGCATCAGGTGCCGGCACAGCTATCTGTAGGAGGTATATGCTGAGGTCTATCTCTTCAGTGTAATTTTCTCTCAGTTTTCCTGCAGGTTGAAAATGCTGGTTATGTGTGAGAGGGGAAAGGACAGTATAGTAAATTGTGTATTAAGAATTAAAAATAAAAGCCTGCATACAGAAGCACAAGGGAGCTAATCAAACAGACCTCAGAGCACTGATCCATAGTGGGGGCTGTGAAGTCTCATACGGCAGATTCCAGATGTGTGCTAAATATCATACGGCAGATTCCAGATGTGCACTAAAACTTGGCAAGAGCTGGCGCTGAACATTAGTGTTCCTGATAGCTGTGATGTGGAGCTCACAAAGACAGCTATTTCCATCCTATTGGCTGCTAAGTCCCTCCTTGTTTATCATAAAGTTACCACACAGTAAAACGGGAAACAATCAAACTGTCCCGAGATAGACGCTAAGAAAAACATGGTGTGGCCGTTAAAATATGGTAAGGCCACTACTTTCTGAGAGGGTAACTAGAGGCTTTCAGCCAGCTCTCTATGACCTCCTGTGCTTGTTTATAGTTTTCCCTAAACAGGAAAACACAGGTCATAAAGATCCCAGAAGGGCTGTTGACTGGCAGCTCTCAGCCCAGGTAAACTGACTGCAGTTTTACTTTTCTGTCAAGAGGTAGAAGCCAGGCTACAGAGAATGAACAGTACCTGGCTGCTTTCCCTAGCTTTTTTTTTCTGGGGGGGGGGGGAAGAGGAATAGAACCCAGGGAGTCACGCATGCTCCAGGCCACACAGTTGCTTTGAGAAGCTCATCTAAAATAGAGCTGTGACACTCCAGTCCTAGCACTGGGGCCGTAGGGATAACCCACAGGAATGAATGACAGGGTAGGAGTTCAGACTGGGTGATCTCACCATTGCTCAATAACTTTCCTTTGAAATGACCCCAGCCAACATCAGTCTTTGGAGGTGGCCTGGGGATTTCAGTCACTTGCTTTCTCCTTCTAGAAGAAACCTAAGTGTGTGTTGGAGAGATGGGACCTCAACTGTTTTCCCTCCAAAAATCCTCAAGAGATAAACAATAGAGAATGCTTTCCAATATGAACACTTTATTATGCATTAATGCATATTACACAGCAGTTAATCAAAGCAAAGTTTAAGAAAATAGACTCCCGCCTCCTCTATCCCAAACTTACACTGGGCACCCTGTCCTGTGGCCACCAGGGGTGACTGGCCGACGAAGAGGCTCGTCCCCACTCCACTGCACACTGGCCAGCCCTTTCCTCCGTGCTTTCCCCGTGTTGGTCATGATCTGGTGGAAGGAAGAAACAGGTTTGAGACAGTGGGTCCCTAAGAGCCCACCCAGAAGCAGAGTGGACTAAAGGGAGTACATGTCCAGGGACAAGATGCTATTCGAACCAGGCTCAAGGGCACCTGTATTCCTAGCACTTAGAAGGCAGGAAGATCAGAATTCAGTTACACAGCAAGTTAGAGACCAGCCTGGGCTACATGAAACTCTGTCTAAAAACAAAACAAAGCAAAGCCAGGTGGCAGCAGTCAAAGCCTTTAATCCCAGCACTTGGGAGGCAGAGGCAAGTGGATCTCTGAGTTCTGAGTTCAAGGCCAGCCTGGTCTACAGAGTTAGTTTCAGGACAGCTAAGGCTACACAGAGAAACCCTGTCTCAAAAACCAAACCATACACACACAAAACCCCCTAAAACAAATAACAACAAAAAACCACAAACAAACAAACAAACAAACAAACAAAAGGGGGGTGGTTTCAGCTGGTGCAAGGACACAGTTCAGATCCCCAGCACCTACACAAAAGCTGGGCAGACATGGTGTCTTGCTTGTAATTTTAGCTTGAGAAGTACAGACAGGGAAGCCTGGGGTAAACAGGGTGAGTAGACTGGCCAGATCCCAGAGCTCTGGGTCTGGAGAGAGATCCTGTGTTAGGTGGAGGGCAATAGAGGTGACAAGTGATATGTGTTGTCAACTTCTGACCCCAACATGCACACATATACATGTGAACACACACATACACGCATACACACACACACACGCACACACACACACACACACACACACACCATACCTAATAATAATAAAAAAAAATGCCAAATAATAAAGAAAACCAAAAAACAAAAAATGGGGGTACTTAAAGTAAGAGGGTACATGCTTCAGGTTACTTGAGAACACAAAAGTTATGAGGAGAGAGGAGTCTTTTCAACTTTGTATATGATCACATGGAGCAGTGTAGCACTCAGAAAGTCATGGGAAGAAGTAAAGAGTTAGGAACAGTAAGTTGCTCTAAGCTTTGAAGAGGACTGGATTTTTGAAGGTGAGAAAGGAGGAAAAAACAGGCAGATATAAGAAAAAAAAAAAAAGGCAACATTTCAGCCTGGTGTAGTGGGGCATGCCTGTATGTTAGCATCCGGGAGGGAGGCAAAGACCTCTGCTAGGCTAGCTAGAATTTGGGCCTTCCCAAGGAACCTTCAATTGGGATGTATATCAAGTTTAAGGCTAGCCTGGGGTACTTAGTGAGACTGAAACAAAACCAGGAGTTAAGCTACTAGAGAAGGGGTCAGTGCCACGAGGGCTCCCTCCAGTTGAGTCTGAGGGTGCTGCTGGCTCTCTGCTGCATGGAGCTCGCGCCTCCCAGTGCCTCCTATGGGGACAACTAATACATCACTTACATCTGCTTTTCAGATGCTTGAAAATAGGACCCATCGAGGCATCTGGCACTCAGAGCGACCACTCATTAGCCATTTTTATAAGCTAGAGTTTCCCTCCTACCTGCTGGGCTTGAGGGACACCTGAGGAACTTCTCAGTGGCCTTGCCTGGGCTGTGCCCACCCACTAGGCAGTGCCCTTCAAGTTGAATTCCAAGCAAATGCCAGAGGAGCTTTGGAGTGAGTAATAAAGGGTGCGGCTCTACATCTGCCCAAAAGATCAGCTTCCATCTGGATTACAGATGGAGGGTCTGTGAGAAGGAAGGGTCTCCTGATGCCAAATGTGCTTTTAGCCATGCTAAACAATAATGCAGCACACGGCTTACACAGTTTACTCAGTGGTAAAGGCTGATCAGGCCAGGTGTGCTGTTGTGTGCCTGCAGTGCCAGCACTAGGGAGGCCAAGGCTGGAGGATCTTAAGTGCTAGGCCAGCCTGGGCTGTATGGTGAGAGTCTGCTTCAAAAAATTAGCAGCAACAACAGCAGCAGAACAACAGTAACAACCACAGTGCTCAACGGAAGCTAGACGATGTCCCCGAGCTCTTCTCTTCTCTTCTCTTCTCTTCTCTTCTCTTCTCTTCTCTTCTCTCCTTCCCTCTTTTTACATTGCTATACATGGAATCCTGACTGAGTGTGAACTTAGTCAAGTGCTCTACCACTGAGCTATGCCCCTCAACTCTATGTAGTCTAGGCTTTCCTTAAACTTGCAATCCTCCTGCCTCAGCCTCCTCGGTTCTGAGACTACAGGTATATGCTATCATGCCTGTCAGAAAATATAGGTATACTTCAGGGCAGGCAGGCTGGCCAGTGGGTAAGGGTGGCTAGTGACAAGCTTGGCAGCCTGAATTTGATTCCCATGATCTACGTGGTGGAAGGAGAGAAATGACCTCTGACTTCCACATGTGTGTGGTATGCACATGCCCACACAAGTACCACCTCTCTCCTGCATAAATAAATGTAATAGCTATCTATCTATTCATCCATCCATTCGTCCATCTGTCCATCCATCATCTCTGTACACATAAAAAAATAACTTAGAAGCAACAGACCCTGTTAGATGGTTATTATTTACTTCTTCACCAACAGAACACTGACACAGTAATCTGTCTAGTTAAAAATAATTCATCTTCTCAGACTCTCTTGAAGATCATGGGGTCACATGATCTCGTTTTGACTCATTAGAAATGGAGGACACCAGAGTGAGTTTTAAGGACAGCAGTGTTGAGGGTGGGTATAGCTGGTTTGTGTGTCTGGCCCCTTGACTTTACTACAGATTCGGAGTCATCTCATGACTGACAGACAAGACAACCTCCATGTAAGTGATGCCGCTGAGGCAGAGTACACAGCCAATGAAGCTTGGGCTTCAAGGCTTTAGGGGAGGTCCTAGTGCTGTGTTCACACGGCCGCCTTTGCCCTGAGATCTGCAAGAGGAAGATCATTTGCCTGCATGATATCAGTTGATGCTGCTGTCTGTCCGTGCCGGCTTCCTGTCACTTCCCTTATGTCACTTGGTGCTGGAACAAGCAGAGAAATTGTTTAGTTTGCCAAGGACACACGGAGCTAAGTTCAAATCCCGTCCAATTTGAGCTTAGTAGGAAAACTTTTTGATTCACTCAGGCATGGTCAAATACTTAGCTCTCCTGGTGTAGGGATTTACTATGTTGTCAGAGTGTTTTCAAATTTCAGTGTGCAAAGAAGCATGGAATGCTCATAAGTCTCATAGGTGAGAGTGGTGGAATATCATTCCAGGCTTATTTTATTTTATTTCAAGATAGGGTTTCTGTATTAACAGCCCTGTTGTCCTGGAAGTTACTCTGTAGACTAAGCTGGCCTTGAACTCACAGAGAACCACCTGCCTCTGCCTTTCAAGTGCTGGGATCAAAGGCATGCGCCACCACCCTGGGCTTGGAGTATCATTCCTAAACAGGCCACTTTGGCATACAGGTTATTTTGAGCTAAAGACACTTGAGAAAGAGCAGATGTAAGAATGGCCTCTGACGCCAGGTGGTGGTGGCGCACGCCTTTAATCCCAGCACTTGGGAGGCAGAGGCAGGCGGATTTCTGAGTTCGAGGCCAGCCTGGTCTACAGAGTGAGTTCCAGGACAGCCAGGACTACACAGAGAAACCCTGTCTCGAAAAAACAAAAAAACAAAACAAAACAAAAAAAACAAAAAAAAAAAAAGAAAGAGAAAAAGAAGAATGGCCTCTGACATCTCTGCTTTCCTTCATAGAAACAAGTGATAAAAACTTCGTGTGAAAGCTGACCTTTCTTATCAGGAGAAGAGACATTCCTGGCTGGGACTTCATGGGCTAAGAGAATTCTGTCCAAGCACACCTTGTTAAATATTTCTTGTCATCTTTTATCTCTCAACAGAAAACATTACAAACTCATCCTAATGTAGAAGTCAAAAAAAAAATCACAGTTTGTGAATGTAAAAGAAATAATTTATTCTGTGCCACATATGAATGACCATGGTTCAGGACTATGGATAAAAGTCATCCTGAAGGAGTGACACGACATTTACAATCACAGAGAGTAAAGCCATGACTCAATGTGTTTACAGTGTGTGTGTGTGTGTGTGTGTGTCTGTCTGTCTGTCTGTCTGTCTGTCAACAGGTGGGAGGCTAACAGGACTTTTCTATTGGTCTCCGACACTGTCTTTATCAACGATGAGATCTTTCCTATGGGAATCAGATATTAGCTTCACTGCACTCTTGGCTTTAGGGTCCCTTCCTGCAGGTGAGAGGTCTGTGCTGCACACTCCCAATCTCACCGAGCAGTCTATAGGACATTAGCTGAGATACAGAGGTTGGGGGAAGTGACTGATAAAGGAAGCAAAGGTCACCAGTGGGTGGGCTTGGAGGTTTCCAAAGTCTCCTCTCTCTGCCTCCTGAATGCGGGTCAGGATGTGAGCTCTCAGATACTGCTCCAGCACCATGCCTGCCTGCCTGCTGCCATGCTCCCTGACACAGTGAAACTGTAAACAATTAGATGCTCTCCTTTATAAGTTATCTTTGGTCATGGTGTCTCTTCACAGCAATTGAACAGTAACTAAGACACAAGGTATGTCTGTACAGAATTCTCTTGCTTCACCAGAATTATGGACAAGCACCATACTAGATGTGACCACTGATATTCTCTTGTAAGCTTGAAAGAGTAACTTGCTCTCCTTTTCAGCATTTGGCATGACCTGTCTCTTTGGTATAGAGCTGCTGTGTGCGCTGATACACAGTTCTCTGAGGGCAAAGGGGCAGCACTGTGGCTCAGCAGAGCAGGTACCCAGGGTCAACGCCCTTCCAGGCCTTTCCTGATGGCAACAACATGAACGAGCCATGCCACAAATTCCTGCCGCCATGGACCAGGCTGTGGCAGTCACCGTATTTCTTGTGCTGTAAGCCAACATAAACCTTTCCTCCCTTAGCTGTGTTTGTCAGCTACTTGGTCACAGTAAAAGGCACTAATATGGCTAGTTTCCCACATTTGGCACAGGCAGTTATGAAATGTGACATTAAGTTCTGTTATGCACCAGGATTGCGACAGGCAAAGCCCTCAGGCTGGTAATTTCAGGTCACAGATCTGGGTGACAATGGGGAGCTTAGAGGGACTTTTGAATGGCAGAAGCAGCGGCAGTGCACATGTGGCCTTAGTGATGGTGGCTCTGCTCCACACTGAGCTGTGTGTGTGATTTAATAAAATAAAGATGTTTCTATGAGGAGATGCTGAGCTGGGGCTCAAAAGAATTCTCAACACACACACACACACACTCACACACACACATTCACACACACTCACACACACACTCACACACACACACACACTCACACACACACTCTCTCACACACACACTCATACACACTCACATACACACACACACACACATTCACACACACTCACACACACACTCTCTCACACACACACTCATACACACTCACATACACACACACACTCACACACACTCACATACACACACACACACACATTCACACACACTCACACACACTCACACACACACACACACTCACACACACACTCTCTCACACACACACTCATACACACTCACATACACACACACACTCACACACACTCACATACACACACACACACACACACACACACACACACACACTCTGACCCTGATAGCTGCGAACAGGACTTTACTTGCAGAAAGAGTCTTTGCAAATATAATTAAGTATCTTTGAAATGAACATGTCATCCTGGGTAACTGAGGTGAACCCTAAGTCTAGTGACGAGTGTCTCTACAAGAGACAGGCAAGGACATAAAGACAGAAGGCCATCAAAGATGGAGGCAGAGGTCAGAGTGAAGTGGCCATAAGCCAAGGGTCACCCAGAGCCACCATGAGCTGGAAGAATCAAGGCAGGCTCCTCCTTCAGAGCTTCAGAGGCAGCCCAGCCCTGTCAAAGCTGGAGTTTGGTCCTCTGCCCTCCAAACCCGTGGCAGAATACATTTCTGTTTTAAGCCAGCCAGTGTGTGGTCCTTTGTTCGGCAGTCATGGGAAATGGATGCCCTTGGTCTTCACCTCTATATAAGCAATTCTTTCTGTCCTCATTCCGACTGCTCCCTGCTCACACACTGGTAATGGACACCAAGGAGATAAGCAAGAGTGTGTGGACCTTTTCTGTTGGACCCAAAACCATTCCCTCTATAGTGAAAGGGACATACATACATTGAGGAGGTTCTGAGTGTGGCTTATGGTGAAATAAAACCGTTTCTGAGTGCCCATCATCTGGGTTTACTAATTGAAAGCAGTCTTTGGCATCTCACCAGTATGTTCAACCAAACTGGCAGTCCCGGCATACACTGCCTCGGGTTTTATTGTTACAAACTGTTACTATTTCTACATAAGATCCTATCCATAGCAGTACACTATGTAGAGTGGCCCACAAGTGAACTGAGGGCTCTTTTTAGGTTTATGTCTGACCAAGCCACAGTTAATCCCTGTGCTGACATTCGGGTGCTATGGAGACAGAGGCACAGACTTAGGTGTTCTGCTCTGTCCTGCAGGAGCCCTGCCCACTGGCCTCTTCTGTTTTTCTGGTCACCTGCTTCTGAAGAGGATCCTGCAAATGCTCTGAAGAATCATGTTTTATTATGCAGTCCAGTCAGAGAAGCCAGCACGGTCCCTGAGGGAAATAGAAGTCTAGCGATACTTCAAGACTGCCGCCAGCAGCTTGGAGCCCCTTCCTGACCTCTGACTAGAATCACTGCAGCAAGGAGCAGGAGCAGAGCCCCATAGCCAGCTCCTCTGGTTCATGATCCATTCTGGAGACAACGGTGGGGGCCGCTCACCAGACCTTTCCTAAGTGGGAGAGAGAGGCTGGCTCTCCTCTAGTCTCCTTCCGTTGCCAGCTTCTCTCTCTCCTTTCCTTCCTGCTCCTAAGTCTGTTTTTCACAAAGCAGCCAGAGTGTGAATCTAAGTTGATATGTTCTATTTACTTATTTATATTTTATTAAAATAGTTTTTGAGATAGCACCTTGTATATCGTAAGTAGGTCTGAAATTCACATGTAGTTGGAGATGACTTCGAACTTCAGAGATTCCTGCCTCTGCCTCTTTTGTGCTGGGATAACAAATATGTGGTGCTTAGAACAGAACCCAGGGCCTTGTGCATGCTAGGTAGGCACACTACCAAATCAGTACATCCTGCCCTTGTTAAACTACAAATCAACCGAGCCCGTCTCCTACCCACACTCCTGTAGTTACCCAGCACTTACGAAGCTGCCATGTCCCCGCCATGACCCAAAGAGTTCCATGAGGTGGCCCCCGGCTGTCCCTCAACCTCAGGTTCTATTGGTATACAATGTCATGCAGTCCTTGGGAGGTTCTCCACATAATGGGGAAGAGATGAGATCAGGTTACCAAGGAGACTGGCTCCTGATGAGGGCATGAGGGCCCAGCTGGGGGTGGGAGGGCATGGGCGGGTGCCTTCTGCTTCCTGCTCCGGTCAAGGATCAGGCCACTTGACCACACACTTTCCCTTCCCGAGCCTCTGGCTTCACCTGCTCCTTGTCGAGAGGCTGGCTCCAGGAATCCTCTGCAGCTCACCATTTGGAGACTTTAGGAGCCACATAACTGGCTCTGTCAGCCATTACTTTCAAAGCTCCCATAGCTTGTCGGAAAGATAATAATATGTTCTTCCAGCCAGCATGGGACTTCAGTCTAGATTGGTTCATATCCCTGGAAATTGCTCCTCCCTTCTGAAAGCTTACACGTTAGCATCCTATCTGCCTATGTGCAGGCTTTTCTGCACTGGGACACTGGTGACTCTGCACTACCATCACTTCGTGGGTAAAGCAGCAGATTCCTCCTAATGGGGGCTCTTTCCTACTTGATTACTCGCCTATTATTCACTGGTTGGTCACTGGCCAGTGGCTCCTGGAGCTACCAAGGATCTCTCAGAGGGCAGCTTCTGGCCCCATGGTAAACAATGACACCATTGGCCACTCGTCTGCTTCCAAGACTGCATTCTTTGGGTTCTTTGGAGTCTGCTCTGCTTTTTGATTTCTATTCTTAAGGGTCCCTCTTCTTCTCCCATGCCCAGCATGCAGGAGAACCCTGGTTCTCAGCCTACTCTCTCCCTGTTCACTGAGCCTCAGCCACTACTTACGTGTTGGAAGCTTCTCAACTGATGTAACACCTGGAAACAAGAAGGTTCCGCTGTTGATGAACGTTACTGAGGATGAAGAAGGTTCCGCTGGTGATGAACGCTACTGAGGATGACACTGAGGACATTGCGGAGGCTCCTGGCAGGCTCATCTGTACCTGTTTCTCTCAGCTCCGATTCCATATATCAGCAGGTTTATCCATCTCTGACAGGTCTCCAAGGCACTTTAGGGCTACTGAGAGCAACTGGCTAACAAGGAGCTTTTCGCAAACCTAAGCGCCACTGAACCTTGTATTACTGAAGGCATTAAATTATGCCTGTCCACCTGCCCCTCGTGTTCAGGACACCTCTGATATGTATACTTACTCCCAAGTACTCTGTGGTTAGAAGCTTCTCGCCTGAGAGTTCTCCAAGCTGGGGCTGGATCAGTTCATCTTTGTCCAGGTCAGCTTCCATGATGTCATGATCCTCCTGTTTCAAAGAAGACAGCTGTGAGAATTCTGGGCACCCACTCAGCCACAATCTCCCCAGAGTGAGCAGGCACCTGCTATGAAATAAGGTCTTAAGCCAGCATAAAGTCTCACCAGGTCTCAGAAGCCACCTGTCCCCTGCTCATGATCCCTCTAAAAAATGAGGGGGACATAGCTGACAACTGTTATAGGATATTTGATCACACTGTGAACCCTGAGATTGTGTTATTTACTGAAAAAGACCTGTTTTTAGTTGTGGTGTGGCTCAGCCTTTAGCACACACCTTTAATTTCTCTGCTGGAATACAAACATGCCCTTAGTACACACATTTAATCCCAAACAATGAAGGTAAAGTTAGTTTGTAGAAAGAAGCAGCCATGTTCAAAAGTGATGTCTAATTTATGTGGCAGACAGAGTGACAAATCAGAGAAAGATTTGACAGAAGAGGATCTGCCCAACTCTCAGGAGGAGAGAGAGGAAAGGGAAGCTGCTTTAGAGAGCAGTGCAGAAAGAAACAGGCAGGCAGTTTTACCGGGAGAGTTGTACAGAGACAGGTTAAAAAGAGAACAGGCTAGACACAGGTGAGGACAGGATGAGCCAGAGAATGAGAAGGAGCCAGAAGGTTAGAATGGATTGCTAGAGTTAGTCTGAGGCCAAGCAGAGCAATACAGGAGAGGCTGGGAGAAGCCAGATTGATCCAGTCAGCTTGGAGAAGAATTTGAGCCAGAAGAGCTGAGCTGAATCAGCCAGCCAGAACTCAGAAAGAACTAGGAAGGGGTGAGCTTATTCAGCAGGAAGTCTCAGAGGCTGAGAACATTCTAGGCCTAGATAAGATTGTATGGAGTCCACAGCTTCCAGAACTAGGCCTAGGTTAGCAGACTGGAGCAGTAAGCCTCAGAGATGACAATTACATCAGGCATCTAAAAGTTCTGTTTATGGATAAGCCCTGAGGAAGCTAGGCTCCCAGGAAGTGCTTCTATAACTAGCTATAGACATGAAAAGGTCTAAAGGGCCCTTGGCAGCTGTCACAGCCAGGGTATCTCTGTCTCTCTGAGAGGTCAAGGAACCATGTGAAAGGCTACCAGTGAGACCACAGTCAGCTGGTAAACACTTTCACATACATAGGCCTTATGGGGCCAAGGGACAGTCAGGGGACCAGGTGAAAGGCTAAGCAGTTGGATTACAGACAACTAGTGAGCACTTCCACATATACAAGTCTTACTGGGGCTGTGAGGCAGTACATGAGAAGCTTTTCTTCCCTAGGGCTCACAGGTCATAAGACTCAGCACTTTGGTCTCAGTCACTGAAATAAGATAATGGGCCTGGAGTGATGGCTTAATGGCTGACTGCTTGCTGTGTAACCACGAGGAGCTGTGCTCAGATCTGAGCACCTACATAGAGCTGCATAGAGTCTTGCTTGTCTATAATCCAGTATTGTAGGAGGGAAGAGGATCGAGATGGCTTGCTGGCTACTAGCCTAGATGAAAAAGGAGCTCCAGGTTTAGGGAGAGACTGTCTCAAAGGAATGCAGAGTAGAGTGATGAAGGCCATCCATTGCCTTCCTCTGGTCTCTCTGTATATCACATGTGTACTCCAACACACACAGACACACAGACACACAGACACACAGACACACACACACTATTGTGACGTGACTCAGAGGTCCACCACCTTCACAAAGGTGGCAAAGGTGACTACCCTGCCAAGTACAAGAGAAGGTGTCACTGGAGTGCAAGAAGATGAAAGGCCCCAGGATGGGCCAAACAAGGCACCTAAAAACTGTATATGGCTGATTCAGGCCTGGATTTAGTGAAGGAACTCACAGTGCAGAGGAACAGTCAGGGCAGCATCGAGTGACAAAGAAAATTTCAAGGATTAGACACACAACAGACCACAGACTCAGCAAAAAGAGAAGGTGGGAAGGTGGTTTTGCTTCTGGGAGAAGGCTGTGGATACACACCTGCAGACACACACACACACACACACACACACACACACACACACTTGACAACAGGAGTGTTGTCAAGTACAACTAAAACCCTGAATACTACACATAAAATAAGCACACAAGACCCTAGGAAATGGAGAGAAAGTGGGTTAGTCCAGGAGAGCCCCATAGCTGCCAGCCTTGGTGCTAAGAAGCCAGCAACTGGAATGTCAATAGTGAGGACAAATCCTCTGAAGCCTGTTACCTCTAGGCAAGGGACAAGAAAGGGGACACTAGGAGGTCGGACATGTTTTAGAAAATAACTACCTTAGAAAGCATTGTGTGACCAGTGTCTGTCCAACTATGCCAGAGAAGGCCTCTGATTCTTAGGATTCTGTCCTCCAAGACTTTGATGAAGCAACTATATCTCTAGGTGGTGTATCAGAGAAAGGCAAGCAGAGGGGTATTTATTGCATCTGTGTTGGGCAGTGCAGAGGTCCCCTATTATCCAGTGAGTAGACACCAGATAGAACAGTTGTCACTCCCATGTAATAGGAAGTTGAGTACTTTCTTACACTGCTAGGATAATGTCAGAGGTTAGTGGTGAGGAATAATGGTACAAGTCTATCCCTTCTAGCCAGCGTGGGGTGGGGGCTATTGGTGGAAGGCTAGTAGGGAACTGGAACTATCTACCTGCGGCTGCATAACGGGTGCCATTCCTCTGGAACCCAGTGAGGCCGAAGACTAGATATCCTTGCTACAAGGTTCAAAGTTCGGCGTTGAGTCTGTCCTCAAGGGGTACTGAGGTGACTTGCTTCAGTGTCTGATCCCTGTAAAGCAACCAGGGAGAGGATGGAGGGGCAGGGCCTTGCAACAAGGCTACCTCAGAGGTACATAAGCCCCAACGGAGGCATTTCTGTATTAGCCTGTCCACATCCTGGGCCATTAATCATGGGGGCTTCCATTCTAGCAGTGCTTGCTTGAACAAACTACCAGGCAGGAAAAGTGTGACAGTGTGGCTCATCCTGGGCCAGACTGAGTCTCTGGCATGTTCTCTTCAGTTGCAACTGTGAGCCTTGAAATTCTTAAAGTTTGTTTGGTGACTTTAAAATAAATGCCCAGCAGGAAGGTAGCTGGTTCCTTTTTGAGTTCAAGACCAGCCTGGGCTACATAGTGAGTTCCAGGCCATTCAGGGTTATATAGTGAGACCCTGTCTCACACAGCAACAAACAAACCAACAGATAAAAAACTTCAACCAAGATTTCATTCTTAGCAGGGGTGGTAGCCAAATGCCGTATCTGTAAGTGCCAGCAAACGAAAGAGCAGATGAACCGCAGGCTAAGACAATTTTGAAGAAGCAGAACATGAGAGGAGGACTCTGATTTCCAGAGTTAGTGTACAGCCAGAGTAGTCCACATTCTGTGTGGCTGGCAGAGGGACACAGAGAATTAACAAAACAAGAGACTCCAAAACAAACCTACACAAATGTTTTCAACTGGTTCTTTTTTTTTTTTTTTTGAGTCTGGAATCTTCCTGTTGCCAAGCATAGCCTTGAACTCTTGAGCTCAACTGATCCTTCCAAACAGCTGAGATTAACAAGTACACATCACTGTGCCTGGCTAGCTTCCAACCAGCTTTGACAAAAGAATACTGTAAGAGATATGGTGAACAGTAACTATACTGCCTAGGGATAAGGAAAGAAATTGTCTTTATGCAAATTTCCCCCATGAGTATTTCTGATCTGTGATTGGCTGAATCCTCAGGTACAGAATCTGTGGACAGGGCGAGTGTGTGTGCCCTTTCTCATTTCCTGCCAAGAGCTTCTTCCACATCAGATGATCCCTTATAGGTTAAATGGCAAAGAGCATTAGGAATCAGCTTAGGCGGGCGTCAGCTGCATATGAGGGAGCTGGCTGGCTCTGAGGCTGAGCAGGGCAAAGGTAAGCCAGTGTGGTGCAGTCTTAGCAGGGATTCCCCAGCCTCCTGGCACCTGGACCCCTGGCGACAATGCTCCCTGAGAGAGGCCAATCAATCCGCCACTGATTCTTTGTATAGTCAACAGCCTAATGGCTGGACTTGGTTCCCCTCAAATTTCCAACAAGAAAAAAACAAGCACAGTTCTAAAACTGTGGGTCCCTGTGCTCATGAAAGCCATTTTGAGTTGTTGGTCCTTACACACAGACTGAAGGCCTGAACCGTGTGCCAGAGATGTCATTTGGAGAGGAACTTTAGAAAGTAGGGCCTAGTTGGAGGGTGGAGGTCACTGGGGCAATGCTTTGCTATGGTCCTTCCTTGCTCTCTTTCTTGGAAGGCTTAAGGGAAGCAGCCTCTGCCACACCCTCCCACTGGGATGCTATTCTGCTACACCTAAGGCCCAAAGCAATGGAAACTCTGAAACCATGAGCCAAAGCAAACCTCTCTTCCTTCAAATCATCTCTGTTAATGACTAACACTGTGGGCATCCTGGTCTTTGGTGGATCAGATTACTTGGTAAATCAGCTCCTAAAACATAGAGCTGTCATGTGTGGTTCTAAGGTTGGGCTAGGGGCCACAGTGAGGTTGCTTGTCCTGAACTGTGTGTACTGCACAGCCAGTACTGTCTGCCATAACTAGAGCTGCCAGATAGGGATGAGCAGGCAGGCCGGAAGCAGCACCGCCGCGAATAAGTCACATGTGGCCTGCTGAGGAGACACCATCCCATCAACTTTCGCCTGAAAGCACTGAGTGGACCCCATTTATTTGAGAACCATTAAGGAGGTACCTCAAACTTCCTTAGCACTTTGTTCCTTACCCCTTGTGACTCAGTGGGGAGTCCTCTAATCTGCCTGTTTGCCTGAGGAGGAAACTCAGGCCTGGAGAGTACAAAGCTCACAGTGACTCTAGCCGTGTGTCTGGCCTTCAGGCTAGGCAGGTCCTTTCTGTTGGGCTTTTCTAATTTAGCCCAGAATGCTCTGTAGGGAAGCCTGTTTCTGAAGTGGGGACTGCCTAGGTCTCTTCAGGACCCAGGATCCCTGGTGTCAGGCTGCGACTGCTCCACAGGGCAGGGGGTGAAGGACTATAGCCTGGAAACCACA